GTGTATCTCTTACCAAAGGTGTAGTCACGTGTGTGGTCACGTGTGTAGTCACGTGTGTGTGGTACGTTTATCTTTCAATTCACAAGGCGGTAGACTCTCTTTGCAGACTTTTAGTTCCCGAGGTTGGCTGTAATCTTGATTGCCAGGGATACCTGTTTTGAGTTGTGACATGGTTCACAATTTACATATTTTACACACTTTACACACCTCACACAGAAATGAAATTGAAATTAACCAGTACTCCTCTAGAAATATATAATTTATAAATTTCGCACCTGCCCCTGTGTTTCAACAATAGATAAGACAACTTGGATATCCAACAGTTTGGCCCATAGCATCACCTATGAGATATAAAAGGACGAAACAGTGTAGTGAAATTCATTATTTGCATAACGTATCTCTTACCAAAGTTAAAAGGAGCAGTCACATTTGTGTGCGTTACATTCGTCTTTGTACGATAGATTCTTAATTGTTATTCCTCCCATTGCAAACAAATATGTAATAAAAAGTTGTGAATATCATGCAATGATTTAAAATAAATCCTGATTGAAAATATAAATGACCAATCTGAAATATGTTACAACAGGTAAAAAACATTAAAATTAGAAACAACATCGAAACGATGAGAAAACAACAGAAACTGATTCAGAGATTGAAACCAAAACAAGTCTGATGACAACATAAATGTCCGTCAAAGCAAGCCTGATGACAACATAAATGTCCGTTAAAACAAGCCTGATGACAACATAAATGTCTGTAAAAACAAGCCTAATGACAACATAAATGTCCGTAAAAACAAACCTGATGACAACATAAATGTCTGTAAAAGCAAGCCTGATGACATCGTAAATGTCCGTAAAAACAAGCCTGATGACAACATAAATGTCTGTAAAAACAAGCCTGATGACAACATAAATGTCTGTAAAACAAGCCTGATGACAACATAAATGTCCGTTAAAACAAGCCTGATGACATCGTAAATGTCCGTTAAAACAAGCCTGATTACAACCTAAATGTCCGTTAAAACAAGCCTGATGACAACATAAATGTCCGTTAAAACAAGCCTGATGACATCGTAAATGTCCGTTAAAACAAGCCTGATTACAACCTAAATGTCCGTTAAAACAAGCCTGATGACAACATAAATGTCCGTTAAAACAAGCCTGATGACATCGTAAATGTCCGTTAAAACAAGCCTGATTACAACCTAAATGTCCGTTAAAACAAGCCTGATGACAACATAAATGTCCGTTAAAACAAGCCTGATGACATCGTAAATGTCCGTTAAAACAAGCCTGATTACAACCTAAATGTCCGTTAAAACAAGCCTGATGACAACATAAATGTCCGTTAAAACAAGCCTGATGACATCGTAAATGTCCGTTAAAACAAGCCTGATTACAACCTAAATGTCCGTTAAAACAAGCCTGATGACAACATAAATGTCCGTTAAAACAAGCCTGATGACATCGTAAATGTCCGTTAAAACAAGCCTGATTACAACCTAAATGTCCGTTAAAACAAGCCTGATGACAACATAAATGTCCGTTAAAACAAGCCTGATGACATCGTAAATGTCCGTTAAAACAAGCCTGATTACAACCTAAATGTCCGTTAAAACAAGCCTGATGACAACATAAATGTCCGTTAAAACAAGCCTGATGACATCGTAAATGTCCGTAAAAACACGCCTGATGACAACATAAATGTCTGTAAAAACAAGCCTGATGACAAAATAAATGTCTGTAAAACAAGCCTGATGACAACATAAATGTCTTTAAAACTAGCCTGATGACAACATAAATGTCTCTAAAAACAAGCCTGATGACAACATAAATGTCTGTAAAACAAGCCTGATGACAACATAAATGTCTCAAACTAGCCTGATGACAACATAAATATCCGTTAAAACTAACCCGATGACAACATAAATGTCTGTAAAAACAAGACTGATGACATCGAAAATGTCCGTAAAAACAAGCCTGATGACAAAAAATGTCTGTAAAAACAAGCCTGATGACAACATAAATGTCCGTAAAACAAGCCTGATGACAACATAAATGTCTTTAAAACTAGCCTGATGACAACATAAATGTCTGTAAAAACAAGCCTGATGACAACATAAATGTCCGTAAAACAAGCCTGATGACAACATAAATATCCGTTAAAACTAGCCTGATGACCACATAAATGTCTGTAAAAACAAGCCTGATGACAACATAAATGTCTGTAAAACAAGCCTGATGACAACATAAATGTCTTTAAAACTAGCCTGATGACAACATAAATATCCGTTAAAACTAGCCTGATGACAACATAAATGCCTGTAAAAACAAGCCTGATGACAACATAAATGTCCGTAAAAGCAAGCCTGATGACAACATAAATGTCTGTTAAAACTAGCCTGATGACAACATAAATGTCTGTCAAAACAAGCCTGATGACAACATAAATGTCTGTAAAAGCAAGCCTGATGACAATATAAATGGCTGTAAATGAGTACGTGGTTTGGCATTGCTAGAACTGTTGAACGCTAGCTGTATACTCCCTAGGGAGTTGAGAAATATATTGGCTGGTTGCAAAGGCCTTATAACCACGGATATTAATTTGTGAACCGCTTTGAGACGACCTACGAACTAGGTTGTGATAAAGCGGTATATAAGAACCTCGAATTATTATTATTATTATTATTGTTGTTATTAAGTGAAGTCTCGGTAGTTAAGTTATAGTTTGGAAGGGCTGGAGTAATGCTGCGTTATGGAAATGGGAGGTATAGACACAATAAATGATCGTTTAGAGGTACGAATATATTTTGTTATGCGGTGTTTTCCCGATATAACGATTACTTTTTCCCCCTGAAAGCTACCAAAATCTAGCGTACGGACGCGTTACCGTCTTAGTTTTTATAAAAAGAAATATCTACGAACGACTCCGTGCAATACATTCATTGCAGTGACGACAGAGTAATATCAGAAGAATAACGGGAAAATGCGATTGAAATTTATTAACAAACGTTAAATAACAACACACAAATGTAACTGTATATGATTAAACTTTCAAATATTGTTAGCAAGAGTTATTTAAAAAATAATGGTACGCATTTTATGTTTTGTCACTTATAATTTATTATACAATTATCTAACAGAACTCGAAAACCCAAACCATCATTTGAACGTCATAATGACGCATCTGTTATCATCAATCATTGGAAAGGCCTGCTCGCTAAAAACCGCCGGTGTATATATGTTTTGAATTACAACCTGTTGCCATCTTATCGGACGAATACACCATAGATAGTTAACTAAACAAATCGCATTATATTCATTACAAGTACATCCGTAAGCTTGTTCCGAATGAAGTTACCTGTTTAATTAACTAAACATAAGACCGTTTACTCACCAAGCTTAGTCGTGAAATGGACGCTTGGTTGATCCTCAGCATACGGTGTTGATTGGTCATTACAGCGACACCAGAGCGGACAGCAGTGGTGAGTAAAATTATAAATCTCTTATAGTGTGTCTTTGTATTTTGTCTTTGGAAGGAAGAGTAAGTCACAGAGTTTAATATTCTCGTACATAAAAAGTTCTGGTCATACAAGTTCGAGTGATGCTGTTTTTATACTAATGTTTAAAAAACAAGTTTACTTGGTTTTATACGTATTATTTTGGGGAAAGTTCAAGTTCATGTTGTGCTTTGTTTTACTGATGTGGACGAAAGAGGTTCGGCAACGAGTGCAAGTTGGTTATGTTTTTCTAACTCGAGTTAGTTAATTTTCAAATTACTCAGTGCTTTTTAAAATTAAAATTTCAACTAATGGGATTTATATAAATATGATAAACAGTCATCACAAATGGGACTTTTTCACCAATAAAGTTCATATTTCATCTAGAAAACCATAACTTTCCCTTAAAAACTCATTATTTCTGTTTCCGATCGGGGAACTTTTGCAATGAATCAGGACTTTGCAATCGAATATGAACGCGCAAATCTTTGTTACGTGACGTCATAATTCTGAGATGGGTGTTTCCCACAATTGGGTAACCAAAAATGTTTACCAACTTCTAGCAGGTTTATCCAAAAAGACAGGATTGAGGAAACATATAATGGCTGTGGAAAAAATACAAATTGGAGTAGTGTTATTTTGTTCCTATGGGACCGTTTGCATGGTGCTAATTTATACTTCTGGGGTAAAGAAGTTTACACGGTGTTTATTTAAATGTTGTTTTGTTGTTAGGTTTACAATGTAACAATGATAGATGTAAATTACATAAAGTCTTCATGATATAACGCCATATCAAGACTAATGATTTCTAGTATTTACCCGTAAGTAAATGAGGCTGTTTCGACTATTTTGCACGTTCAAACTCTATAGTCAGCTATTTGATTCAGGTTTGATATGACTTTAACTGGATTGATATCTTTCGCGATCTGATAGTCAATAAACACTGATATCAAAATTTTAAATCATACACAAAAATTACTTATTCAACGTGCGTGATGAATATTAGAGTAAAATCAAATAAATGAAAAAATGAAAAAAAAAAAGGTGAAGAAGCAGTTAATATAAATATTCTTAATAATGATGTAATAATTTTATAATTGAGAATGCAACTTTTTATCATTTTAATCGCATTTAAGAATTTCTGTTTTACTTCTTAATAACGAAGCGTTTGGAAGCGTTACAGACATTTGTATGAAGACATTTGAGTTGTAAAAATATTTTGTATTGTTTTCAGATAAACATGGTATTTAATATACAGATCATAACACAAGCTGTTATGATATTTGCCTCAAACATTATATTTACACAAGCGAAGGAATCTACTATTTCTGATGGAAGGAACATCAACCTGGAAAATTTAATTCATCGTTATCTTTTATCGTGTGGATATGACTATATTTGTGATATATCAAAGATTCCACAATTCCGTGTCCCTGCTCCGGACCATTCTTATAACATCACTCGAGTATGCCCAAGTTGTTACTGTGATGACGAATGCATGTCACGTGGCGACTGTTGCCCGGATGTATACTTTGCCGTGCCCCCGATGACCTGTATCAACACCACACTCCTAAATACAACGGGATCGTCCACAAACCTTAAACCTAAACCGCCATCTTATGAAATTGTGAACTCCTGTCCAAGTGAGACCGGAAGTAGAGAGCGAAACCTATGTGAGAAGTCGTACACACCAAAGGAACTACTTACCCGTCCACCAGTTGCATCAGCAACGTTTCCGGTCAGTTATAAAAACAAATATTGTGCCATGTGTAATGGTGAAAATGACACGTTAAACTGGATACTCGACATAGACTGTCTCAAGTTCGCTGATTTCAATTTTCTGTCGACCTATCAGGATATTATTGATCTAGCCCGAAATAGAAAATGTCGTATGAGGTATTCTCCGATGGATAATCCGGCGAGATCCTGTAACCTTACCATCCCAAAAAGAGATAAATTGGTTACCCGTAGTTGTAACATTTCTGGAACTTGGAAATCATTTGATCTATCGATAAAATTGGCATGCGAGTCAACGTATTACTTAAAATTCCGCGAATACAAGAATATTTTTTGTTACATGTGTAACCCGTCAATACATATAACTGATGACGTCATCGACAGATGCAATACGACTGGCATGTGGTACCCGTATGACGCAGGCTTAGAACGTGCGTGTATGTATCATTCAACTTCTCAACACACTCATCCATTCAAAAACATATTTTGTTATCTATGTAACCGGATAGCCAATGACAATGAAACATTCTATGACGTCACCACCAGAATCAAAGAAAGGATACATTTCATGGGAAGACCACGCCGTTATATTTATACGTATAAAGTAAAGACAGGTAAAATTCGACCTGAACACCTACGTTATACGTATACAGTGCTTAACAGATTGACAGAAAAGGTCATCGGCCACAAAATCCAACTCAATGTTGACGGACCTGAACCACAAATGGAAAGGCCAAGTGATAAAAGCGTGGTCGTAAGAAAGAATGATATTCAACTAAATGTGACAAATTTAGTGTACAAAATGTTTGCTGTAAGACCTGTTGACCAGTTCTGTGATAAATCTATTGTTCCTTTGCAGTACGTAGTGGTTGTCTTCGAGGCATGTTCCTGTAACCCTGACTGTTTGTTTCTTTTAAACAAGTTGTGTTGTCTGGATTTTTCATTGACGTATCCAGTATCATGTATGGACTTTTATGTAGCAAAACCTAAACATATGAAAAGGTCTACTAAAACGTTATTCCTCACGGACGGTTGCTGGAACGACGCCGGACATCAAGTCATCCGGAACCGATGTGTATCGAGAAATCAGACGGACGCAAGTTCATTTCTTCCGTTGATTGACAAAATTCGAAATACTTATTATAAGAGTTTTAATTGTTATCTCTGCAACAGAAATATCAAAGAGATATACCCAACGGATAAAATCCAAAACATAGCAACGGAAGGTAAATACGTCTTAGCCGATATCGATATCAACTGCGATACTGTTGCTTTAGATTTCAGCCATCTTGTTTCTTTCATAGATTTAATCAATCTTGCTAAACATATTAACTGTACCGTTCTTTTTGACCTGAAGATAAAAAAGAAAATACGCATCCAAATGGATTTTCCTCGTATTAATTGTTATAAGAGGAGAAGGACTATTAATAGATGCAATGTCACCGGAAACTGGCCTGTTTATGACCCGGATGTTGCGTGGGCGTGTGAGCAAGCCTCTGGCAACATTTTACAGACCTATAAAAGATATGGAAACTTTTACTGTTACCTTTGTAATCCGGAACACGTGGTCTCTGACGTCATCTCTACATGTAACGTAACTGGACAATGGCAATATTACAACATCAACCATGAGAAGGCGTGTCATCTTTTCCCTAGAATATACAGCTACCCTCAGTACAAAAACATATTTTGTGAAATTTGTAATTCCGCTCGAGTTCCCAAAATAATTCCAAATAGACAACAGCATCGGTCTCGTGCGTCGCCAGAGGCAACGTTACCCCGTGGTCCTTTTTTCCAAGTGACTTTCCGGTCCCTGTTTTCGGTTACAGAATACGACGAGAGCGTGCCAGAGGTGGCGGGCGAGAGATGTAGCAAACACCAGATTTATGACTATCGGAAGGTAGGTAGCAATCATCTGTCTCATATTCAACGTTTTTGTACATTGTAAATACTTACTCGTATAAATAGGAAAATAATGTCTTATGCATGAAGACCTTTCAAATGTGTTCACAATCCTTCGTTTCCTTTCTATACGAAGATATGTATTTGGTTGGAATGTGTACCATTATTGAAAAAGAAAATAAGTCAGTAATATTTGCAAGAGTATCGATATTTGAAAACAAATATGGCGTACTTATGAATTTAATTGGTTTCAAAATAACAGGCGAAAATTGTTACTCTTAACTCTTTGAATTTTGAATAAAAAGCAGTTTTCATTTCAGTAATAATTACCATAGCTTTAGTATGCATGAACAATACCTACACCCATCTTTGTAGACCAAAAACGAAAGATTCAAATATCCCGACCTTCAACAAAGCACTCTAATGAGCATATTCAAAATATCAACTCTCATATCACATAACAAAATAGCATATTTCTCTGTAATATCATGATTGCGATACTTGGACCTATCCATAGTCTTCTTTAACATAATCTTTGGAAACTTTGTGTTGTGAAATTGTCCATCAACAGTCGGCATCTCTCACGAAAGGAGCGATATTCGGAGCACAATCTAAAATGCCGAATCAACTGCAACGTCCAAACACCGTATGTAGGGTATGCAGATCTGTTACTAGAAAGAAAGGGAAAGCTCGTTATCAGAAAGTCGAAATCAAACAGTTTGTTATGTTATGTAATATACATTAGAATACACTATACGTATGCGGGCGGTCAACCATCAAGTCATTGACCAAGCTCGACGCTGCTGAACTACTGAAAGGGTCCCAGAGTTATACCGCAGCGATAACCGCATCGCTGAAGAAAAAAAAAACTAGCTTGCCAGTAAGGCAGCATCCCCCCCCCCCCCCCCTCTTTTTCCTTGTGTGTAACTTAGTTATATATATGATATAAGGTCCATTATTGTCGAAGAAGCTAATATGTAATCTTAGCGAGAGAAAAAAACTACATGCAAAGAGCCCAATTAAAACTGATAAGTAATATTGTCTTATTTTCAGGATGAGTGCCGTAACACAACCTGTTTTCCTGGAAAAGTTCTTAACGACAGCAGCTGTATTCCGTTATTGACCATAACAAACAATCTTCGGTACACAATCTCCATTGAATTTACAGGTCAGCTCCCAGAAAACCAAACAAACGCGCTAGACTTCCTGAAAGCCATGGAAATCGGGATAAACCTTCATATCTCAAAATTATTCGGGACAACGGAATTCAAGTCTGATAATTTCCATCTGCTTTCGAATTTCCCGTGTGAATCGAAATCAGCCTATGTAAACACAGAAACCATCAAACTTTATCTTTATATGACGGTTCACATAGAGGGTTACGTACCTCGTTTTCTGACAGAGAATTCTTTACTAGAAAATACTTCAGATATGTGGAATGTGTCTGTAGATAGCGAAGTTATCGGCCTTGTTGCCAAGACGAGTTTGAGAGCTGTCATGACACCAACGATTATAGACAAAGCGTCATTCAAAGAAACATGTTTCATTCAAAGATTTTCCAATCACACGTTTGTCCCGTGGCAGACCTTCAGGTCAGTTTACGTGTCAAAAGTTCTTTTATGTCGACAAATCGAACTCGAAAGTGACGAATATGACATTAATATTGCGAAAATGGAACTGAAAATTCATAGTATCGAAAAGACTCTTCCGTTTGATAAATTTCAAAGGTCTTCTAACGGCAGAGTTCGCGTGTGCATAGAAGACATAGAAGCTATATCAGATCCGGTTAAGGAATACGTAGACCCATCCCTGTCAATCCTCACTTTAGTCTGTAACACAGCTTCTATGATTTGTCTGTTTCTTACATTTGCTGTTTATCTTATGCATCCGACTCTGCAGTCAATACCAGGCATCAATAACATGTGTCTGGTGTTCACTCTTTTCCTCACTCAGCTATCGTTCCAGTTTGGATCGTTGTTTTCTGTAGATTCCGTACTCTGTGAAGTTATCGGTATAGTTTTACATGTATTGTGGTTGTCCTTGTTTGGGTGTATGAATATTTGTTCGTTTCACATGTTCCGTGTTTTTAGCGGTATAGGTAAATATCACGCAGCCCATAACAAACTCAAAACACTGAAGAATTACGTGACGTATTCATTTGGACTTCCGGTTGTCATTGTATTTGTGAATACTGCTTTCACTCTTGGCTTCAACGAAGGGCAGAAAACTGGTTATGGAGTCGACAAATGTTTCATCACTAGTAAAATATCATTCTTTGTAACGTTTTTGTTTCCAATAATTGCAGTCTGCTTGTCAAACATTGCTTTCTTTTCAATCACAGCCCATAAAATACGTAATACTCCACGTGTGAAAAGTAATCAGGAAAATCACCGCCATTTTGGAATATATGTCAAACTGTTTTTTATAACTGGTGTCACTTGGTTAACAACGGTAATTGAAGCTTTTTTCCCTTTGTCGATCGTTTCGTATTTCACTACAATACTGAACGGTTGCCAGGGTGTTTTCATTTTCCTTAGCTTTATAGTCAACAGAAGAGTGTTCATGCTGCTTAAGGAAGGATATGAGAATGCTAGTCGGAAATTCAGTAGGAGTTCATCTGCACCAGCTACTCAGACCAGCAGTGTTGCTCTTCATTCATCCTCCACGGATAAAGGTCTTAATTCATCTTCCACAGGAGGTCTTAATACATCTTCCACAGGAGGTCTTAATACATCTTCCACAAACAAAGGTCTTAATTCATCTTCCACAGGAGGTCTTAATACATCTTCCACAAACAAAGGTCTTAATTCATCTTCCACAGATAAAGGTCTTAATTCACCTTCCACAGATAAAGGTCTTAATTCATCTTCCACAGGCAAGGGTCTTAACTCATCATCCACAGGAGGTCTTAATACATCTTCCACAAACAAAGGTCTTAATTCATCTTCCACAGGAGGTCTTAATACATCTTCCACAAACAAAGGTCATAATTCATCTTCCACAGGAGGTCTTAATACATCTTCCACAAACAAAGGTCTTGATTCATTTTCCACAGGAGGTCTTAATACATCTTCCACAAACAAAGGTCTTAATTCATCTTCCACCGACAAAGATCTTAACTCATCATCCACAGGCAAAGGTCTTAATTCATTCTCCACTGACAAAGATCTTAATTCATCCTCCACAGACATAGATCGTAATTCATCTTCCACCGACAAAGATCTTAATTCACCTTCCACAGACATGGGTTTTAATTCATCTTCCACAGACATATAGCTTAATTCATGTTCCAAAGATAAAGTCTTTATTTTTATTCTACACACATGGGTTTTAATTCATCTTCGACAGACAGAAGTCAATTTATGTTCCATTGACAAACGACTTCATTTATCTTCCCCAGACAAAGATCTTAATCAATTTTCCATAGGTATTGAGTCTTAACTCATCTTCCAAAGACAGGGATGTCAATTCATCTTTCATAGACCAGGATATTTACCCAACTTCCACAGACATGAGGCTTTATTAATCTTCCAAAAACATATATTTTAATTCATCTTCCAAAGGCAAAGGTCTGATTTCATCTTCAACAGACATAGATCTTAATTCCCCTTGCACCAACAAGGATCTTTATTCCTCTTCCTCGGGCAAGAGTTTCAATTCGTCTACAAAAGAAAAGGGACAGTGTTCATTGATAAAAATATACGCATTCGTTATTTATGCAATGTGTAATCGGACACTGGTGAGTTATTTCATGCGTTAACCATGTAAGATATGGTATAAATATATGTGATTTATATTTATCTATATATATGTTTATTTATTTATTTGTCTTTTGTGTTCTTCTCTGATCAGCTTCCAGAGCAAATAGAATATGACACATGATCGTTTTTACACATTTAATTTTGAAACACTTAAAATCTGCATATATCTTAGCTTATGTTTGTATAGAGAATATAAAAGAGGAATAGCGGGTAAATCTTGAATTGGGGCCAGTTATTCATTATACCCCATAACGTTTACTAATTAGTACCACATATGACCTCAATTACGTACATCTACTTCTTACTGACTCTAATACTTCTAATATATTACCTTCCAATCAGTAATAACCTCTACTAATTATTTTTACTAATTTAACCTCTTGGGTTTTCCGTCGAATTTCGTGCCACTAATGGGTCTTAAATGGATAAAAAAAAAACTTCTCATAATCCATACTTACCAACATGAAGAAAATGTTTAGAAAAAATCCATCAACTGCTTATTTCCTCTAATTATCTGTCTAAATACTATTACCAATTTTACTACTTATTGACAAGATTTACTGAATTAAAATTGCACCCGCTAATTATTTTTAAAAGGTCCTTTTACTAATTACTTACAACTCTACTAATTCGTACTTACAGGCAATTATCTCTACTTATTGCCGCTACTGAATCTATCTATAAATAACCTCTACAACAGAATAGAGTATACTCGGAAGTGAAGCGGACGTAAAACCTATCAATCAATCAATCGAATAGAGTACGGACAAGAATATCCGGAAGTGTAGTTTTATATAAAAAAATGTGAATGTATACTTATTTGTGAATATATATGTATGACGAATACTGATATTTGATCGAATATTTTGAACAGTGTGTACATTATTTAAGGCGATTCTAGACGCCCTTGTACATTGTATGTATATATATACGTTTATGTCATAATATTTTGGAAAAGATAATATATTTTTTTGTTATATAAAACTCTACAATCTACAGCTACAAAACACTTCAATTTATTATCAATTAATAACTCCAACTTACTAGTACTACTTCTACCATTTCCCTTTTCTAATTAAGTTAATGGCATCTACTAATTGAATACCGTATACGCAGCATTGTTATAACAGAAACGATCAAATAGAATTGACAAAACAAAAATATTTGATTTGCTATAAATCTAAAATAAAGCCATGCACTGCATTTGGTGTAAACAGGGGCTATATTTACATTGCTACGTGTGTTGCTGTTAATGACCCGCCTGTGGCTTGTAGATAACGACAGTGCTCGGTGATATGGAGTCGCGACGGACATACGCTATTAATCATAATTAAGTGCTTTTGCATATTTGATTTAGTTGTGAGGAATTCCCGCAATTCACTCTGGTTTAATACCTGTGTCATTATAACAATCAATACGACAAGTAAACATGCCTGCGAGGGTTTGACTACATTTTGTACGTCAAATTATCACACAGATATGACTGATTATACGCCTACTTTTCATCATAATGTACAGATAAAAAATATTTTTCAGAATTACATACTTAATGCTAATTTCAAAACATTGTAAGCATACTCCTTTTAACGGTCAACATTTTATAGCAATAATCTTCTTGCAAACAATATAATTTTAGCTGTTATTTTATCTTAGTGATGACACTATTTAAAGTACATTTTCTTTTAGACTAAAGACATACACGAGTATGCTTACAATATTTTGTAACTAGTGTTCCCTTTATTGGAAAACATTTTATAATAATAATCCTCTTATAAACAATATACTAGAAATTTGAGCGGTGAAATTGTTTAGCGTTTACACTATTTTAACTGCAATATTACTTTTACCAAAACGTTGTTTCAGTGGCAAAATGTACTATAGCAGTAAAGATAGTTTGGATTTTTGCGATAATTTTTGTCTTGACGATCTATTGGGCAGTAATCGATTTCAATCCGTATTCAATATGCATTTCTCAAAACAGAAATCTCATAGAAACGGTTATCATATTTGCGGGTAAACTTATTTAAGCGTAAACATTTAGTTACAGTACTTTTGTGGGTAGTTGAGGCGCCAGATTAGAATTTTAAATGTTTATCTCAGCTGTTCCATAATAGAAAATATTTATCATTACACGCTAATGTACAGATCCACTCAATCTACCTAAAGCCTTTTGTTAATCGTATATGAATATATATTGGTTATATATGAATACGCTTACAGTTATATGAACGAGAAGTAAAAGATGAATCTCGTATTCAATATCACGGCCGTGGACAACACCCCGGATAAAGCGACAACCTCTGGAGAGGATGAGATATACCTCGCATATATCATCCGAGAAGGAACAGTCTACACACAGATCCATGTATGTAACAGACCAATCACTCGTCAATGTAACTCAATACGAAATAATGACGCATTATTTATCAACGACGGCGTCTGCCGAGGAAACTTTCAAGATGGGATAAGTTTGTAAATTTGACAAGTATACCCTTTACAGAGCACCTACTTTAGTGTGTTGCTTGTCTATTTCATTAAATCGGTGTTTCCCTGCAGCACCTACAACTTGCTCTGTGTTTTGTTTGTCCTTGTGTGTTGACGCTGTGATATTTGCTTTATTCCATGAGCCCTCAGAACGACAGAAGCTGTCAACTTATTTTTATTAATAAATGTTCAATTATGGTGTGTCAAGAAGAGGTTTGATGCCGTTTGATTGGCTGATCAGTCTCTCCAAACTCACACCCTAATGATTTATAGGAATTATTCATCCTTTCACGCGACTTGACGTAATCCCTTTTTATCAAATTACCACAAATATTTTATCTGGCGAACTATTTTCAAATGAAAGGAATATGCAAATAGGTAGTTTTCGGATACAGGGGTTTGTTTACGTAAAACCGTTATTATTGATAATGCAAAGTTACTTTCTACGTTCCTAAATCATTCTGTGGTCAGCATTACTCAAAATGATCTTCAGAACGTTATTAAACGAAGTAGAATCAGGTAATATACACCTGTGAAATGTGTAAACTACAGCTTTTATTGTAAAAGAAGCAGATAACGACGTACTCTGTGTGATGTATCAGCCAGTTACACCACACAGATAATGACGTCCTCTGTGTGATGTATCGGCCAGTTACACCACGCAGATAACGACGTACTCTGTGTGATGTATCAGCCAGTTACACCACACAGATAATGACGTCCTCTGTGTGATGTATCGGCCAGTTACACCACGCAGATAACGACGTACTCTGTGTGATGTATCAGCCAGTTACACCACACAGATAATGACGTCCTCTGTGTGATGTATCGGCCAGTTACACCTCACAGATAACGACGTACTCTGTGTGATGTATCAGCCAGTTACACCACACAGATAATGACGTCCTCTGTGTGATGTATCGGCCAGTTACACCACGCAGATAACGACGTACTCTGTGTGATGTATCGTCCAGTTACACCACACAGATAACGACGAACTCTGTGTGATGTATCGGCCAGTTACACCACGCAGATAACGACGTACTCTGTGTGATGTAGCGGCCATTTACCCCACACAGATAACGACGAACTCTGTGTGATGTATCGGCCAGTTACACCACGCAGATAACGACGTACTCTGTGTGATGTAGCGGCCATTTACCCCACACAGATAACGACGAACTCTGTGTGATGTAGCGGCCTGTTAAATCACACAGATAACGACGTACTCTGTGTGATTTATCGGCCAGTTACACCACACAGATAACGACGCACTCTGTGTGATGTATTGGCCAGTTACACCACACGGATAACGACGTACTCTGAGTGATGTATTGGCCAGTTACACCACAGAGATAACGACGTACTCTGTGTGATGTATTGGTCAGTTACACCACACGGATAACGACGTACTCTGTGTGATGTATTGGCCAGTTACACCACACAGATAACGACGTACTCAGTGGGATGTATTGGCCAATTACACAAATATCGGTTTGCCGAATTACAAAACGTAGCATTACGATTTAAACACATTTCATGTCAAACATTTTAATACGCATAAGTGTTGGTGATCTGACTCTCGGCAATGCTAAAATTTAAATAAATGGGAATTTTTTTAAGCACATGGTAAAACTAAAGTACTTTGATGTCGCCACAGATGTTAAATGATTGAAAACATTGCGGCCCCCAATGTCGAACCATCAATAACGATAACAATATACTGGTGTATCCATTATATTAAATCGCCAATATGGTGCATTAGGTTTTCAACGCATGAAATGTGATATATCCATTTTTAATTACCTTAATGAAACAGTAAAGCTTTATTAGGAGCGTCCATTTCGCGACATTAATTGCCTGCTCTGAGTTCGTCAATTCAACAGATTCACCTGAAGATAGACTAAATGTTCGAAACTGTGCATTCACGAATTAATGTATATATTTTGCTCTCCTCGAGTCCTTCAGCGGGAAGACCTGTAAAGATGGACCCCCGATAAAACAAATATGTTTACATATCATGGTTCAGTC